GCGCGGCCCGTGACGCGGTGAGGACGTAAGGGAGGGGAGATGGCTCGTTGTTCGGAGCACACGTCTTGGAAGCCTCTTGGAGTGCAACATGCATTCAAATTGAAGCAGGATTGCCAAAGGCTGCCAGTGGCGTCGCGCGCGCAGCTCGAGCCGGCCGCGCTGCCGCGTAGTGCCGCCACATCATGGAGAAGAGCGCGCGCGTGGCGCCTCAGCAGCACTTGCAGCCGCTGTGGCGCAAGCACGACGTGACTAATGTCGTGGTTCGTTTCTTGGACCTCAAATCGATTTCGCGGCTCCCGACCATCTCGCGGTTCTTCGCTGCGGACCACCCGCGGCTCCTGGTGTCGCTGATACGCGGCGAGAAGGATGCGAAGCGCCGTTTGATGGACGCTCTCGCGGACGGTGGCTACGACAGTGCTCGCCTCCGCGAGCGATGGGAGAACGGTCTCGCGAACTGGGAGCGACGCGAATCGGTACCGTACGAACATCCTGCGTTCACCGCGGAGGTGCACGACGATGATCTCGAAAGCTACTTGGTGTTGTCGACGCCCCCGGGCTATTTTTCACACGCGAACGGGATGGCCCGGCGGGTGGGCGGTCAACGAAATCGCGTGCGGCGACTCAAGGTGCGGTGTCGCTTCGAAGAGGGTAATGGCGGCGGCGGCTGCCTCTTGCTCTGGTCGATTCAGGACCGTGACCGTACTCGCGAAGCCTGGGATCGCGACAATTTCCATGCTGAATCGCAATTGTGCAGACTGTACTTCAAGCCGGACGCCCCCGGGATAACGTCTCTGGTGTATATAAACGACAGCGTATCAGACCTCAACCCTTTTGTAGACAGCTACGTAACGCTCGTCGCCGATGCCCAGCCGGGTCAATGGTACAGCGTCGTAGCGGATTTCGACTGGGACACGTCAACCGTCAGTATCGACGTCGATGATGGCCTCACGATATGCGACACGAGTGATGGGATCACGTTCAATCGCTCTGCGTTCGGCGGGATCTTCCTCAACAATTACTCGAACTTCACGGCCCATTTCGCTGATATTGAAGTTGAGTACTCTGTGGCATCGACTAGCTTCCCGTTCGCGGATTGCCGCGACGTGTCCGACTCGGACTCCGACTCGAACTCCGACGACGACTCCGACGACGACTCCGACGACTCCGCCCCCGACTCCGACGAAGCGTAAGCACGTTAGGAGTAGAGCCAGCGCGTCGGCCAGAAGAAGGTCGGCAGGAGGGCGTGGGGCCCGTCGCGCGGGGCGAGCCAGCCGCCGCGGAGCGCCACGGGCACCGCCGCGCGCGAGGTCGCGAGCAGCGCCCGCGCGCGCGCCAGCCACTCGCGGAGCGCGCCCACGACGAGGCCGCGGAGGCTCGGCGCCGCCGCGACGGCCGCGCCGCCGCCGCGCCGCACCGCCGCGGCCACACCGGCGCCCGCGAGGCCGCCGGCGGGGACCCCGAGGAGCGCCTTGAGCGGCGGCCGCGCGCGAGATGCGACGGAGAGCGGGCCCGGCGCCGGCAGGAGGAGCGACGCCGCGCCGACGAGGCCGACGTCGCGGACGACGTGGCCCAGGACGCGCGGGAGCCGCCGCCGCGGAGGCGCGGAGCCGGACGCGGCGAGGCGCGCCTCGGCCGCGACGCGCAGCCCCCGCTCGTCGGCCGCGGCCGCCGTCGCGGCGTCGAGGTGCGCCGTCGCGGCGCGCAGGTCGCCGAGGGCGAGGTCGAGCGCGGCGCCCTGGTCGTCGCCGCGGCGCTCGGCGCGCGCGAGGTCGTCGCGCGCGCGCGCGAGCCGCGCGTCCGCGTCCGCGGCCGACGCCGCCGCGGCGGCCTCCGCGCGGCGCAGGTCGCGCTCGAGGGCCGCCGCGCGGTCCGCGCAGGGCGGGCCCGCCGGCGCGGGCGCGGCTTCGGGCCGGAGCTCGCTGATCATGAAGCCGGCGACGGCGCAGACGGCCGCGACGGCCGCGAGCACGGCGAGGCGCCAGAGCCAGAGCTCCGCGTGCCACCAGGCGTACTCCTTCGGCGGCGCGCGCCGCGGGTCCGTGGACCCGCGGCGCTTCGGGGGCTTCTCCGCGAGCCGCGCGAGGCGCGGCGGCGGTTTTTGTGTTAACGGCTCCGCCCGCAAGTGCGCGCGGACGGCCGCCCGGACGTCGGCGTCCCGCGGCACGCGCAGCGTCCGCGTCACCTTGCCCGTGCGCTTGTCGCGGAGCTTCACGGTCAGGAGCTCGCCGCCGTCGTCCTCGAGGCGCGCGGAGACGGACCGCGCGCCGACGGACGCCGTCGTGCCCGCGGAGACGACGGAGTAGGCGTCGGACGCGGACGTGCGCACGCTGCGGAGCGACGCCTGGTCGCTCGCGTCGTCGGCGCCGGCGAGGTCCTGGTGGCCGAGGTCCCGGCTGCTCACGGCGTGCGTCTTCATGGACACGGACCGCGCGAGGTCCCGGCGCGCCCCGTCGGGCGCCGGCGCCTCGGACGCCGGGCTGCCCGCCGGGGCCGCCCGGCTCCGCTCGAGCTTCGCCTGGATGGCCGCGCTCTTCTTCTCCCAGGCGTCCAGGGCGGTCTGGGTCGTCATCGTCGGGTCGGGCGGCGCTTCAACTAACGTCGGGCTGCCCGGCAGCGTCGGCGACAGCTCCGGCCTTTGCCACTGATCCGAGGCGGTTCTTGTCCACGCCGGTTCTCGTCGCAAGTCCACTGCATTGTGGGACGCGGGCGGCTTCGTGTCCACGCGGCGAACCATGGGCGTCCTCGGCGCCGTCTCGAAGCTCGTCGCGCTCGTCGCCGTGGCCGTGGGCACGATCGGCAAGGTCAAGCCCGAGCTCTTCCTGAAGCTGCCCATGGGCTTCATCCCCTGGGCCATCACGGGCAACTTCGTGCCGCCCTACTTCGACAACGCGTTCTACAAGAGCGAGAGCTTCCGCGACTGGGTGCGCGACGGCGACGTCGTCGTGTCCGTCGGCGCCAAGAGCGGCACGACGTGGATGTGCTACTGCGCCGACGCGATCCGCCGCAAGGGCGCGGCCGGCGCCGCGGCGGAGGCCTCGGGCCTCCTGCCCTACACGGACATCATGTTCACGACGCCCTGGATCGAGATGACGCAGGCGCCGGGCCAGACCTGGGCCGAGCGCGAGGTCTTCTACAAGAACCACGTCTTCCCCGACGGCACCAAGCTCGTCGACTACTGGGACAACGCGGCGTACCCGTTCCGCGTCTTCAAGAGCCACATGACGCCGGACACGGTGCCCAGCGGCATGCCCTACAGCGAGATGCTCCCCGTGACGACGTACCCGAAGGTCAAGTACGTGACCATGGTCCGCAACGGCTACGACGTCTCGAAATCCATGTTCTACTTCTTCAAGCGGCATCGCAGCGCCTTCCAGAGCGACTGGGGCTCGTTCCCGCCCCACTACCCGTCCGTCGAGGACTGCGTCAAGGACCTGCTGCCCGGCGGCAACATCTACAGCCTCTACTTCCCCTACGTCAAGGCCTGGTGGGCTTTGAAGGACGAGCCGAACGTGCTCCTCATGCACTACAGCGACGCCGTCAAGGACCACGGGACGCTCATCGCGACGCTCGCGGCGTTCTACGGCGTGTCGCTCACGGGCGCGGAAGAGGCGGCCGTCGCGGCGACGTGCTCCAAGGACCACATGAAGGCGCACGCGTCCGTCTTCGACTACGTGCTCCCCATGGCGCCCCACGTCGGCAAGGTCATGGAGCCGGGCTCCTTCATCAACCCGCGCGACGTGAGCGCGGAGACCATCTCGCCGGAGACGGCCGCGGCCTGGGAGGCGGCCGTCGTCGCCGAGTTCGACGACCCGAAGCTCCGGGTGTGGGCCGCGGACGGCGGCGCGACGTTCTAAGAAGGGGGCGGCGGCGGCCGCGGACTCCTGGGAAGAGGAGCGCGCGGGCGATGGCAAGGCGCGCGGCGGGGCGAGTCGCGTCCTAGGAGAACCAGGACTTGCCGCGGTAGGACGCGAAGGCCTGGTCGAGGTCGGCGATGAGGTCGTCGGCGTCCTCGATGCCGACGCAGACGCGGACGATGTCCTCGGGGAACTCGCGCGACGCGCGGACCTCCGCGGGGATGGACGCGTGGCTCATGTCGCAGGGGCAGGAGATGAGGCTGTGCACGGACCCGAAGGACACGGTGATGTTGAAGAGCTGCGTCTTCGAGACGACGTGCTTGCTCAGGTCCGTCGACCCCGTCGTGAAGCAGACGACGCAGCCGCCGCCGGTCGCCTGCGTCGCGTGGAGCTCCTTGTCCGGGTGGCCCTCCAGCGTGGCGTAGTAGACCTTGGTGACCTTGGGCTGGCTCTGGAAGTAGGCCGCGAGCTTGACGGCGTTGGCCTGGGCCTTGTGGACCCGGAGCGCCATCGTCTTCAGACCGCGGAGCGCGAGCCAGCAGTCGAAGGGCGCGAGGCCCGTGCCCTCGGCGTTCTGCGCGAAGTAGAGCCGCTTCGCGAGCGCGTCGTCGTCGACGCAGACGACGCCGGCCATGGTGTCGCTGTGGCCCGCGACGAACTTCGTCGCCGAGTGCACGACTATATCCGCGCCGAGCTGCAGGGGCTTCTGGAGGAGCGGCGACATGAGCGTGTTGTCGACCTCCAACAGGGCGCCGTGCGCGTGGGCGACCTTCGCCAGACCCCGCAGGTCGCAGACGCGCTGCATGGGGTTCGTCGGCGACTCGACCATGACCAGCGAGACTTTCTCCGTCATCGCGGCCTCGAGCTTGCCGGGGCCCTCGGGGCCGTCCATGGCGACGTACTTGACGGCGACGCCCGCGTCCTTGCACGTCTGCGCCAGCAGGCGGTAGGTGCCGCCGTAGGAGTCGTCGCTCAGCAGCACCTCGTCGCCGGCTTTGCAGAGCCGCGTCACGGCGCTCAGCGCCGCCATGCCCGTACTGAACGCGAGGCAGTGCGCGCAGCCCTCGGCGTCGGCGACGCCGCTCTGCAGGGCGCTCCGCGTCGGGTTGCCGCTCCGCGTGTAGTCGAAGTCGCCGAACTCCGTCGCCGACGCCTGCGCGAACGTCGCCGTCTGGTAGATGGGCATGTTCGCGGCGCCGTAGGGGTCCGGCGACGGCGCGTGGCCCTGCACGAGCCGCGTCTCCACCGCCAGCTTCCCGTCGCTCCCCGCGGCCGCCGCCCAGGGCGACGTCGCCACGGCGCCCTCGCCGAACTTGTCGAGCACCTCCGCCGCCGCGTCCTTGTGGCCCAGGAGCTCGAGGTGCGCCACGACCTCGGCGATGGTCGCCGCGGGTTTCTTCGGCGCCGGCGCTTTCGCTTTCGGACCCATGCTCAGCGGCGCGCAGCTCGGGAAGAGGGCGAGGAGGAGGACGAGTACCGCGCTGCTGCCAAGGTGCATGCACTTGGCGGCGCGTTCGAGCTGTGACGCCGATCGACAGTGCTTGGCGTCAAGGACGGAGGTGATGCGGCACCATCTCCACAGTGCAGCGTTGTAAAGTGGCTACGATACTAGAACGCTGTAAGCATGGCGTCGGTCGCGCCGGAGGACGCGGCCGGGCAGCCCCTCTAGCTATTAACCTCTCCTAGCCTAGCAGCGTTGACTGCTGGCTTCCGGATCCTAGAACGCTGTAAGCATGGCGTCGGTCGCGCCGGAGGACGCGGCCGGGCAGCCCCTGGTCCAGGCCACGCTCGTGGGCGAGCAGGGCAGCCTCGAGATCACCCTGAAAAAGCCGGCGGCCGACGCCAAGGTCGGCGTCTCGCTGGTCGGCAGTCCGCCGCTCGTGCACCAGGTCCGCGCCGGCGGCCTCGGCGCGGCCGCGGGGCTGCGCCTCCACGACCGCGTCGTGAGCGTGAACGGACTGCCGGTCTCGGGCCAAGAGGACGCGGCGGCCGCGCTCGCCGCGGCGCCGGCGGGTCCGCTCGTCGTGGTCGTCGAGCGCCCGGCGCCGCCGCCGCCCATGGCCCAGGCGCCCATGGACCGCGACGGGACCATCACCTGCGACGTCGCGCCGGGCGACGCCATGTTCAAGTACGTAGCGCCGAAGGGCGGCGTCTTCGTCCACGAAGTCGCCAACCCGGTGCTGCGCGCCGCCGGCGTCGACGTGGGCGACGCCTTCGCGTCCGTCAACGGGCTGCCCGCGCGCCCCGGCGCCAAGGGGTGCTGCGCCAAGGGCGAAGACGCGCGGCTCCAGTCCGTCGGCGAGCTGCTCCGGGCGCAGGACGACGGCCGGTCGCCGCGGCGCCTCGTCTTCCGGCGGTCGCTCGCGGGGGACGTCCCGGGCGAGCGGCTCGTGCTCCTCGGCGACCCCGAA